CCAAATTGCTTTTGATTATATCCATATTTATGAGTATATAACAAATCAGGGTAACTAGCACTTCCACCTTCTCAAACATTGAACATTTGTGTGTGTGTTGAGAACTTTTGAACTCCTCTTTTCTAGTTCTTTAAAAATTATATACTAAGTAGTCATAAACTACAGTCACCGTAGTATGCTGTAGAACAGTAGTACTTGTTCTTTTTTAGTACCCAATATTGGATCTCTATTCCCTCTCTCCTTTCCTAACCTCTAATGACTACTATTTTAACTTGGCATCTTGGCACTCTCTTCACTTGATAACTGTATTTCTGAGGTGCCCCAACATTTTCATTTATAGTACTTGTTCATCATCAGACAGCAAACACAGATGGCCCCAGCCAGGTCTGCCCAGTCTCACATTGAGCTGAAGTCAGCTCCTAGGAAAGCTCCTGCACCCTCTGCTGGTCAGGTCCAAGACACTGTCCACAGAAGATAGCTTCTCAAACCACAGGGTTTTACCCTGGTGTTGTCCATCTAACTTTTGTGAAGAATTTGGGAGCTGCTTCCTGAACATACAACCCAAAAGAGACAACTGCAAATTCAACTCATGCTTTCCTTTTTAACACCAAAGAAAAACATCATAAAAACTAAAGTGCTGAGAGAAATATTCCATTAGAAGCATTGCAGTTCAAATCATTTCATCTTTTTACTTAATAATTAGAGTATCCAGATGACAAACATATGATTTGAAAGCCTCATTAGAACATACTTTGATTGAAAACCTGAGAATCATGGTAACAGGCAACATGTGTGTAAGTTTTACAACTTACAGAAAGTGCTCAATTCATATTTACACTCAATCCTCATGGCAGTTTTGTAAATGAAGAAGAAAGGAGGGCTAAGCATCACTATCTTCACCATTTTAAAGATGCAGATACCAACATTCAAATACACAAGAGCTGCTTGGCTTCAGACCTACAAGAGCCCACTCTCCAAGCAGACCTCCAGATTCCAAATTTTCTGTTGTACCCTGCACACTGTTCTACTGGAGCTACTGAGCAGTAAATAGTTTTCTAAAGAGGTGCTGTATATTTTAGGACGGGAAGTGTTTGCATTTTGAGTAGCACTTCGCCCCAGAAGAACATCAGTTTAATAAGGGAAGTGGACATCTTAATAAAGCATCTGCTGAAGACCAAAAACATTAACTTCAAAATTTCTGTGGCATGTCTACAACAATATACAGTAGATCCTGCCAGGCCCTGTATCTGCATTCACTCAGCCACTACTGCACATGAAAAATGAAACTAGGTTAACAATTCTCAAATTGTGGTTCTGCTTTCTCTTTAATCTTCACAATCTTGATTATTTCTTTTATGAATAAAACATTATAGATACTGTTGTCAGTTTTTCTATCAGTTGCTTACTCATCAGTGGGACAAAATACCCAACACATACATTACAACTTAAAAGGGAAGAAGTTGATTTTGGCTCAGTCTCAGTGAATTAGCCCAGCATAGGCCAACTGCAAGTCAGAAAGGGCAAAGTAGAAGGAAAGCAGCTCACATCAGTTGCTAGGAAGCAAAGAGAGAAGAGAGGATCCAGAGACAAAATATATCCTTCCAGGTCTCAATTCCAGTGACTTGCCTCTTCCAGCCAGTCCCACCTGCAAACAGCACAACCAACTATGAACTCACTCATGGATTACTCCATTAGTGAATACAGTGCCCCCATATCCAACCACCTTCCAAGGGCCCTGTCTCTGAACATCAGACTTTTTGGTGATATTTCAGATCCAAATCATAACAAGTACCAACTTAAAAATCAGTATGACAAATGAGAAAAGATGCAGTAAAATTCAACTACAACTACAGCAATCCCCAAAACCAAAGAGCAAAGTATGTTAGGCATATTAACTCATTTAGTCCTCTCAAGAATCCATTTAGCAGAAAGAGGCAATTGAAGCATGCAGAGGCAAATAATTGTAGTTATTTAGAGTTATTGAGGTTATATAGCCAGTAAGTAGTAAGCCTGAGATCTGAACCAAGGCCAACTGACACCTAAGTACATCTTCTTAACTACTATGTTGTGCTGCCTCTCTACAGAAATGTGTAGCATATCCTCATTACATTTTAAGAGTAAACTTTTAATTTCATTGCAAATCATACAAAATTCCTATATATCTGACATAGCTTTCCTAATATTAAAATTTTGTATTACTATGTTATACATGCTACAATTAACAACCTAATAGTAATATATTATCTTGAATTTAGGTCCAGATATCCTTCATTTTACCTAATATCATCCTGAATTGCATCCAGGATATCACAATTACTTATCATGTCTTCTGAGGCTCTTCTAGTTTCTAACCATGCCTCAGACTTTCCTTGTTCTGAGGACTTTAACAGTTTTCAGGAAAACTGGTAAGAGATTATGTAACCCATCCTAATTAATGATGTGTTTATGTATTTCTCCCAATTGGATTAAAGTTATTGGTATTATGTTTCATTTAAGAGATTTTTCTCTTCTCTGAGATTATTCAATCTTTCATTTATGTCATTATGAACCCTGAATTATTTTTAAAGTTTGAGTTATAACCCAATAATGCTTGATTTATTTTGTTAATCGATGTTCAGCTTTGCAAACCAAGAGCTCATTCAGGAGGCATCTATAGCCTTTTAACACACTCCTTCAAAACGTTTGTGTTTTTAGTACTTCTTCACTTTCTGGTATCACAAGGTGCTGCGGGCTCATCTTGTTTATTCCTGATCCAGTCTTAGAACAGTCATTTCTAAAGGCTTTCTTTCTCTCACAAGAGAATAGTTAGGCACTAGAAGTGCTTCTATCTATTAGCTTATCCTTATTTCTGGGCCCTCTCAATTGATCAAGCAAGGAAATTCATATGTGCATAATAAACCAACTATATGTACATTTATATCTGTAAATGTTTCTAAATGTATCTAAATTAAGTTACTGTTCACACTAATATTGCTAACTGTAATCCAGTATGACAGGGATACCTAGCCTTCCATTCCTGCCTGACTACAGCCTTCTACTCCAACAATTAGAAATCTGGCTCTCATTACCACCATGAAATTTTTAATTGTTTAATTCTAGTGCATAGATATAATAGTTTCAGAACTGTTAACATACACTTCTGTGGGAAACTTCATCAATTATAATATAGTACTATGTACACCTTCTACTGCCTTTAGTCTTACAAAGTTACTTACATCAACAATCTTTCCCTGGCCTCTATCAGGGAAGTAACTGCAAACATTAGTAAAAACAATTAGATTCTTTTGTCACAGTCTGCCTTCCGTCCTAGAATCCTCATTCCCCAAAATTAATTTTTAAAATTGTGCACACAACTAAAATTCACTCTGGGGAGGCTGGTATGTTGCTCAATGGTGGAGTGCTTGCCTAGTGTGCACAAATCTCTGGGTTCAATCCCTAGTACTAAAAAAATTTTTAAAAAGATTCATTTTGGGGCTGAGGGTCAGTGCAGTGGTAATGCATGTGGTTAGCATTTGCAAGCTCTGGGATTCAATCCCTAGTATCCTCTCCCCCCATTCAGTCTGTGGTGTAAAATTCTGTGGTTTTAACAAATACACAGTAAAACAAGTATCCACTAGAAAATCCTACGAAATGGTTTCATCATGCTAAAAAAATCCCTAGTGTAACCTAACCTCTCCCACCCTAACCTCCATTTGATTCATTTTCCTAACATAGAATGCACTTGATATTGCTTCTCATTTTATTCCCTTACATCATGTTCATATTTATAAACACATGTGATCTCACTTGAATCTTAAATGTTTCCACTTAGCAGAAGATTGAATGAAACTCAGAGTAAGTGGCTTGGTTGAGATCTCAGTAAGTGTTAGTGCTGCCACTAGAACTTGTGCCTTTTGACTTCTGGTATGATGCTCTTTCCACTGCAAGATCCTTCCTTTTCAGCAGTGAGTGGGATGGTTGTGCAGTGAGATAAGAAGAAGAAAAGGTAGAAGTGGTGATAAGTGATCATTTAAGCCATGTTTTATGTGAACAAAGCTTTTATACTAAAAACAGGAAAAAGTGAAATTCTAGCTCTGGAAATTTGGTGAACTTGACACCTCAAAAACCCTTCTACTATTCAATACCTCCAAAACAGTGGATAAAAAAATAATTTAAAACACTTAAATATAACACTGAGCCAGCAAGAAAGAGAAATCCTTAAAAACCAAAAGTTAGCACAATTACAGAACTAAATGAGTACTGAACCTCATGCCAAATGAGTACTGAGTTCTGAAAGCCTATAATGTATGGGGAAAAAGGTCACAAAAAGTCATCTAAATAAACTTGTTTGATTTAACATTAGCAAATATATTCATGTAATTCACTGGACTGTCATATTAAAGAAAAAAATCACATGATCATTTCACAAGATACAGTGAAAACATCTGTAAAATTCAACAATTCATGACTAGAAATCAAATAAAACTTTTAGCAAATGTGGAATTGGAGAGAATTTACTTGATAAAAGGAAGTTTCCAAAAATCTACAATGCTGGGGTTGGGGATTTAGCTCAGCGGCATAAGCACCTGCTTTGTGAGCAGGCGGTCGTGAGTTTGATCCCTGGTACCGGTAAAAAAAAAAATCTACAAAGCCATCCTTGAGGTGAAATATTAGAACTATCCCCTTTATAAACATGAACAAGATAAGAAAGTTCATTATCAATGTTTCTACTCAATACTGCACAGGAGATCCTAGCCAGTATAGTAAGAAAAGAATGAGGGGAGAAAAAGGGTGACAGGCTTAAGAAGGAAGTACAATAACAAAAGTGTCACAATTTTCTAAGGACATGAATATCTACATACAAAAAACTCCCAAACTTTCTAAATGATTAGTACTGATAAGGTTTTTAAGTAGGAGATCAATATACAGAAATTAATTCTATTTTTACATAATAGCAAAAATATAGTTCAAAAACCTAATTTAAAAATATACCATTTACAGGTGGGAGAGGTGGCATATACCTGTAATCCAAGAACTCTAGGTAAGGTAGGAGGATGGTAAGTTCAAGCCGACTGGGCAACTTAGTGTGATCCAATCTAAAAAAAAAAAGAAAGAAAGAAAAAAAACAAGCTGAGGATAGGATGAAGTTCAGTGGTACAGCACTCACTCAACATATATGAAGCCCTTTGTTCAATCCCCAGGACCACAAGAAAAAAAAGGGTATTCATTGTATGCTCTTGTGTAACAACCACAAGTTTAGTACATAGTTTAAACCAACAGTCATTTATTATCTCAAAGTCCTGATACTCAATTCCTCATATAATGTAGCCTGGCTCTCTGCTCAGGGTATCATCAGGCTGAAGTCATGTCAACCAGGGGGAGTAATCTCATCTGAGGCTCAGGGTTCTTTTACATACTCAAGGTCATAAACAGAATTCAGTTCCTTGCCACTGTGACCTCGGCTCCTACAAGTTGCCTACTGTTTCACACCACGTGGTACTTTCCACAACATGGTAATTTGCTTTTTCAACAAGAGGATGTTAGTTGTGCATAGTGGTGCACAGCTGTAATTCCAATACTTGAGAAGTTAAGGCAGGAAGATCGCCAAAAGGGCAGCCTAGGCTACAAAGTGAGTTCAAGGGCAGCCTGAACTACAAGGTGAGGTCCTATCTCAAAAAACGAAATGAAAAAAGGTCAGTTTTTTTAATGTTTGCTAAAATGGAACCTTATGTAAAAATAACCTAATCAAGGAAGCAATCCATCATAGTCTTAAGTCCCACTTATAATGAAGGACTATATGGAAGGTATACAGTAATGGGAAGGTGAGAGAGGAGGATCATGAAAATAAACTGTCAAATTAGGACTACCACAAAGAATTAGTGCAGGTAAGCATTGGACTCAGGCTGAACTCAAGACTTGTGATCCTCTTGTCTCAACCTCTTGGGTAGCTGGGATTTGAAGTATGCAACACAGGCATAGCTCTGAAAACTAATATACTCTGTAACATGTGTAGTAAAAGACAGGTGTAATAATGTCCAGTCACTTTTCTGAATTTTTGGTTTTAAGAGGAAATAAAAAGCCTAGCCAGTAGAAGGAGATAAACTGCAGAAAATTCATATAATGAAATACTCTATACTAGTAAATCAGTTAGCTGCAGTTATATTATTAAGTGCAATATTGATGAAAAAGCTGTAGAAGAGAATATAAACACAATATAATTTTACTTATTTAATGTTCAACACTGTTCAGATATTTTATTTATTTTTCTTATTTCTTACTTTTATAAAGAAGCAAGACTGGGCATGGTGGCAGACCCCTATAATCCCTGCACTCAGGAGGATGAGGTAGGAGGACTACTGTGAGTTCAAGGCCAGCCTGGACTACATGATTTGTTCAAAGCCAGTCTGAATTACAGAGTGAGACCTTGTCTCAAACCTCCCCCACCAAAAGGGGAAAGGAGAGTCCAGGAAGCACAGGCTCATAAACAGATGTGTTATGGATTATATCTAGATGTTCCCCCAAACCCTATGTAGTCATAGATGGAGCTTTTTAGATGTAGTTGGATCTAAAGCATATGATGGTAGGATTAAAGATGTGATGCTTGGATTGATTCACGGTACAATGCCAGGATTAAGGGTGCCCCACATGGGTGTAAGGACAGGTAGCCTGGATCGAATATAAGGGACAGAAAGATGGCTGTTAGTGTCACCACTTATCATTGCTATTTTTGCCACCTTCAGCCTGCCATGGACTGTTTTCCTCTGTGATGCCCCTCCCAAAATGCCTATCCTGATACACCCTATGACAAAATAACTTCCAGTATATTATAGATAAAAATAATTGTGTTGTATTATTGACCACTTGTCGCCTTGGTTCAAATTTGTCCCTGAACAAATGTTCAAGTTTAATAATATGAGCATTTTATACATTTATTGCTTCTTTAAGTAGAGCATATAAACAACCAAAGCATTGTATTAACTTATGAGTCTCTATTTCTTCTTGTCTTTAATTTACAATGGCTAGAAGGGTTAGTAGTCTGAAAATATATATCATAAAGAATGGGGAAGAGGAAAGCTAATGTTTGTTTTGCTACCAAAACACAGAGAAGCCATTTTTCAATCATAAGCTCTGTGTTCATGCTATTTTACCTTCAACAAATTGAAAATATCCACACTATAGATAGAACTCTGAGGGCTTTAAATTTTTTGAAAGTTATTTCTTATTAATATTGTGGTTTCCTACTGATTTAAAGACTAATGGGAGACTAAATGTGTATTTACGTAAAAGTACTTAGCTACTGATACTAGTTTCTATACATTATTTTTATACATTATTAATAATGTATACATTATTCATTATTAATAATGTATTCCATACATTATTTTTACAGGTCATTCATTCTTTCAACATACACATGCATTAACCATATTTTAGGTAGTGTGCTAGAGAGGCAGAATGATATTGTCTCAGTTTCTGACTGGGTTAGTTAGGAAGACAGACTAATGACAGTTTTAAAATAGTACCAAAATATCTGCAGGATAAGTTAGGAACACACGCAAAGCTACTAAACTGAAGAGGTAAGGAAAAGGGTCCAAGTGCATCTGTGACAATTATCACAGTCCTCTGATAAATGGTAAGAGGAGAGGAAGAGAGCTCCAGACAAAGAAAATCTCAAATGCTAAGGCACACTGCTAAGAAAGTGTGTACATGTCAGAACAACAAGGTTGGTCAGAGAGAGGAGGCTGAAAATATGAACAAGATAAGATAATAGAGTGTTCTGTAAACTACACTAAGGGATTCCAATCTGTCCTATAAGATAGCTGTGTGAAACCGTAGGAATTTGTACTGGTATCCTCAAGACTATGAGATTTCTCCTTAAGATCCCCCTTTTTTTTTTTTTTTTTTTTTTTTTTTTTTTGTCTTTTTCATTTTTATCGATACCAGGGATTGAACTCACGACCACACACTTACAAGGCAGGCGCTTATGCCGCTGAGCTAAATCCCCAACCCCGAACCTTTTATTTTCAATTTGACAAAATCCTAAACAAGGGATTTTAACAAAAGGATGGCTAGATCAAGTGGATGACCACCTTTAGGTTAAGTGCTGTCACAAGACCCTCAGTTTGCGCATTTGTGTTTAAAGTGCCATTTGTCACTGATGCAGAATAATGAGAAAGGAAGGGGGATTACTGCATGCATATAATGTCAAGTTAAGCACCAAGGAAACCATGTGGTTTAAGTAAGTGGAGGGGTGCACTACGTAATCTTTCAACACTAGGGCAATACAGACAGGCCTTCTGTAAGGAAAGCACGCCATAGAATTGGTTTGCTTTTGGAATACTTTAGGTCCAGCAAACCAGTCCAGCAAAACTCATTATGATGTATTCATTTGAATTTGCTGGTTTTCTTATAAATCCTGGATCCTGTAGTTGTACAAAAGATATAATATAGTTTATATCTAGTTTTGTATTTATACATATTTAATATACTAAAAAATTTTAAATGGAAGATCCTGGGTATTGATTTTGACTTGAAAAATTCTACTATGGGTGTTCAGTAGCTACTGAAAACAGAATGTGCAGGTAACACCTTTGTGCTTTAGTAAAATCACTGTGAAAGAAGCACCTGTAAGTATTACATGCTTCCCTCATAATGTGTTAAAAATAGTAAGGTCTGAAAATGTTCAGATGAAAAGATGGGTAAGTGTTAAGATTTGGCTCTAGGTGGAACAAGGAGGCATCAAGAATAACTCCCCTTGATGATCTGATCATAATGACCAAAGGAAAACAAGTGGGGGCAAGGAGAGAGGAGAAAACCTATAATGAGTTAGACTCAGCAATGATTTGAATTTTATTTCATCCACAGACACACATCATCCACAGCAACACGTCTTTTCCAGTTTTCTCAATGACAGCAGCATTAATAAATGACTAAATCAACCATTATAGCACTCTCTAATACAAAGCATTACACTGTATGCTATAAGTCAAGAAAAATCAGCAAAAAACAGGTGCTGAGTGAAAAGCAGCAAGGATAAAAAGAGATACGGCTATTTTTTTTTTTACGCCTAAGTCGACCCAGTGTGTTCACCTGCTATTGTGCTTTTTTGAGCTGGTTGTCATAAACGGTCACTTATTTCCCGTAGGGACCTAAAAACAGGAGGCAGCACGCCAAATTCACGTGGCAGATGGGAAGACAATACCCTCAAGGGATTTAAGGCAATGGGACCTAGGGTTATTGAAAATTTAGCGTATTAGGAGCTTTGAACACACAGACAGGGCCAGCTTGTTATCTTTTACTTAGAGAAATCAACGTCGACTATCTTAGATACTTCAATAAAAATGTAAGCATTACACATTTTATTCCCTATAAGAAAAACGTAGTAATTATCTCCAAATCATTCACTGTCTCCACAGGCCACACAAAGGCGGGCCTCGTGGGGGGAAAAAATAATTCCATCCTATTTTGGTGGGAAAGCCAGCATCTTCTACCAGTAATCATAATACGTCCTGTACAAAGCACAGTGTTTATACACCCAAAATGTTTAGCAGTCAACTTCATCAACAGTGTGCACAACTAATGGAAAAGCCGCGGGGCGTACCTTGGCAAGGTCGCACTCGACTCAGCGGCCCTCCGGACAAATGGCCAGAGCCTCCCCCAGCAAACAGCAAAGGTAGACAGACACGCGTCACAGCATCAAGGCGGGAAGGGAGGCAAACCGGAAGGAACAGAAACAAACGAAACGGGGCCAGGAGGTGGCAGTACAGCGCCCCCAGGGCTCGCGGCCTGCGCCTTGCACACAACGCGGAAAAGCGCGCCGGCCCGGGCGCACCCTCTGAGGGACCCAAGGGGCGGTGCCAGGCAGGGTGGGTTGAGGGCGGGACCGGGGCGAGACCTCATGCCCCGCCGCCCCATGGGAATTGTAGTCCAGGAAGAAGCCAGAGGGCACTAGGAACTACATTTCCCGGTGAGAAGGCGGCTACGGCAGGCCACGAGGTACAGCGACAGCGTACTGCCTGCTGTGGGAGAGCCACAGAAGCAGGCCGGGAAGGGGTAGTGTTTGTTGTTTCCTTTTTCCCTGTACTCGGGGAGGACTGGCTGGTCCTTTCCTCGCCCCGCTATTGCGTGCCTGTTTCCCAGCATTATTTTTTTTCTTGAAATTCAGAGGTGACGGCTGCTGTTGGGTGAGGGAGTGAGGGGTGCACCCCTCCTTCAACCCAAGCAAATTGCGACTGTCTGAGCCTCCATGGGCCCGACCCGGAAGCCCAACGTGTGCAGCCAGCTGAGTCGCCGGGCTCTGGGCTTCTTCGCCCGCGACGCAGGCGTGGTGCAGAGGACAAACCTGGGCATCCTGCGGGTGCTGGTGTGCCAGGTGACCGCCTACCGGCCGGGGACAAAATAAAGACAGCGGGACGCCTAGGCTGGGATGCAGGCTTTAGGTTCTTGGACTTTCTTTAAGAGGGTCACAAGCCATGGGAAGGGGATTAGCAAAAAGGTGTTAATAGGGACACCAGATGGTTTTAGTTTTAAGCTGCTTATGCCTTTCTGCAGTCTTTTTAAAAATTGGGCAAGCAGTTGATCCAAAATGTGTGAGCAGAGTGAGGAGGACATTAAAATAATGTTTTAAAATAACGTATGTGAAATTACTTTGAAAGTGGTAAATCTAACCATCTGGTTTAAAATGAATGCACAGTAGAGGGTTATGTGTTCTATTCTAAACCGAAATTCCTTGTGTCTTTCAGGAAAGTACTAAATTTAAGAATGTTTGGACAACTCATTCCAAGTCACCTATAGCCTATGAGAGAGGAAGAATATATTTTGACAATTATCGGTGTTGTGTCAGCAGGTAACTTTTAGTTATAATTTTCGTTGTCATTTACCTGACTGTTAATCTTTAGTATTTGCAGAGCCTCGTGACTATGCTAGTACTTAGTAAAATAGGACAGTGGACAAAATGGGTCCAAAATAAAACTTAAGTAGTAAAATGAATGTACTTTTTTTTTTTGTCTTTTTCCTTTTTACCGGTTCCAGGGATCGAACTCATGACTGCCTGCTTGCAAGGCAGGCGCTTCGCTGAGCTAAATCCCCAGCCCAAAATGAATGTACTTTAAAAATCTTCTTAAATATGAAGTTGTAGGTTGAGGTTTGTAAAATACCATTTCAGAGCCAAACAAAATGCTAAGGCAAAATGATAGACTGCTCAAAGATAGACTGTGTAGTTTTTTTTTTTTTTTATGATACTTAAAAAAATAACACAGACAGGATCTCCCTCACTAAGTAATAAAGGCTGGCCTTGGACTCATCATTTAGCTTAGGCTGGCCTTGAATTTGTGTCAATCCTCTTGCCTCATTCTCCCCAGTGCTGGAATTACAGGTATGTGTCACCACACGTGACTACTTGGCTTTTTTTTTTTTTTAAGAGAATTTTTCAAGCAAAAGCATATTTATAGATCTAAGATATCTCAAGTCAGCCTCATCCCCAAACTTTCAAGCATGAGATTGACAGGAAAGCCATGGTGAAACCCACCCAGTACCAATTCTTTAGACTCAAATACTATCAAAATTTGCTATACTTATTTTACTGCATTCCCTTCACTTCAATTTGTGTCTCTAAAAATTGTGAGAATTTGCTTTATAAGAACTTCATTAGGATAGGCATATACTATACTGTTTACCATTTAAAGTTTCCTGTTCACTAATGCTTACATTCTCACCAATGTGATTAATTTTGCAGCAGCTTCATTGTTCCCAGTCATAATCCCATAAGACATCCCAAATGCTATAATCCTGAGTGTTGAAATCATGAAAGATTAAAATCAAAATCCTAAAAATATTAACATTCCAAGTACTGTAGTCTTGAAAGCCAAAATCTTGAAAGGTAGTTCCCATTTTAAAAAAGACTTGTATAAGACAGCTAGAAAGCCATATTCTGGGGAAGGGATTAGTGCCTTTTGGTTGTATACAAGATCATTTATTTCATGGATGATGCTGGGACCCAGGAACAGAGTATTCCTAATTCTTCCCGCTTGTCTTTGATAACACTGCTGTCATTCATATTACTTACCTATCTATATGTTATAATCACTGAAAACCATGTTGCTGTTTTTATTTTTAGCAAACTAAAAGTCAATAAAGATTAAGAAAAACAAGAAATTTTGTTTTACCTTTATTCCTTCTCTAACCCTTTTGCATTCTTTATGTAGAACTGATTTTCTGATACATCATTTTTTTCTCTTAGAAAATGTTTTCATATTTCTTGCAAGGCAAGTCCATGGCCAGCATACACTCTCAGCTTTTTGTTCATCTGAGAAATTTATATTTCTCCTTCACTTCTGAAAGGTAGTTTTTTGGGGGGGAACTGAAATTTTAAGTTGGTGGGGTATTTTTTTACTTTTAATGCTTCAGATATTTCTCTGGTTGTATGATCTCTGAAAAGGAAAGCCTGATGTAAATTTTTATCCTTGTTCCTTTATGGATAAGGTGATTTTTTTTTTTCTCTTTTTCTCCAACTTTTTTTTTTTCTCTTTTTCTCCAACTTTTAAGATGTTTTGCTTCATTTTTTATTTTCTCTTGTTTGAGTATGATATACCTAGGCCACTTTGGGCCCTAATATTCTCAGCTGTACTGCACCTAAGGTAGAGCCTCCATGTCACCATTGGAGCCTGGATAGAAGTGAGCCCCTTGTTTCTCTACTGCCCTCACCGAGGACTCCGCTTCAGTAACTGACAACTTGAAGCTGGCTAAGCCCAAAGCTCCTTCCTTCCCCCAAGTTAGGCCTCTAAATAAAACAGCCAGGAGAGGGAGCCCTGTGCTCTCTCCTACAACAGTCTGAGGAAGGAAACATGCCTTGGATTAAACAACAGACTCACAAAATCCCTATTGAGCTGTGATAGATTTTCTTGAATAAACGTGTCTTCATCTGACATAACGTCCCCAGGACCATTTCCAGAAACATTAAGTGATTGTTCTTTTGTAATTTTCACCAGTTTTGCTGAAGAGTATCCACTAAATCTGTCGTGCTAGAAGTAGAAATCTGGATGTTTTCTTATATGATCATAATGTTACCATACCTGGAAAAAATAGTACTAATTCTTTGCTACCATTTAATTTTCACTTTATAACTTCCCCCATTTGGAAGTACTTGCTTTGATTTAGAAAAAAATTCTGAAATAATAAATTTTGATTGGTGCTCTAATGTAAATAATGTTGGAGTTCTTTAACATGCCATCCAAGGTGCTTTACCCACAGGTTAGAATTACAGATGAGGCTGTTTCATTCTTATGAAATTCTATTCAGTTTAAACCTTTCAATCAGAGATAATCAAAGGTGAATAAAATGTCACCTTGAAAATTGTTTCTCTTTTAGCAGTAGGTTAATTTTAAAGTGCCTCTGTTAAATGAAAATATCTGTGGTCATCTCTCAGTAGAAATCAGAGAAGTATAGTCAGGCACAGTGGCACATGCCTGTAGTTCAGTTCCTGAAGTGGTTGAAGCAGGAGAAATCATTTGAAACCAACCTGGGCAACATAGCAAGATTTTGTCTCATAAATAAGACTATTTGTCCTATCAAAGATAACAGTGTTCTATATTGGTATTGAGCCTTTCTAAAAGATAATTTAGGAATAAAAAAAATTCCAGAGTATTTCCTTTTCTGTATATGAATTTTTATTCTAAAACAATGGAGCCATTTTTATCTACAAATTTTTATTTCACATGTGCTTAAATAGTTTTTGAACTCAAAGGAAATGAAGTTACCCACAAAAAAATGTTCAGGGATAAAAAAGATCAATATGATATAATCTTGAAAAACTTTAATGTAGCTAATATATGTAAAGAAAAGCTAGAAAATGAGCTAAAAGGTTAGTAATTATTTTTGATAGTTTTATAGTATTATAAACTATATTAATCTTATTACTTTTTTGAGGTTTTCTCTATGTGTATATTATGTTACAAATTCTGTGACCAGAAAAAATAATGTACATAAGAAGGCAAATAACACATTATATTTTGGTATTCCAAATCTTTATATGGAAAAGTATCTCAAACCTGAGCAATTACTACTTCCATTATTAATAACAGTAATTTTTTTTTCTCTTTTCCAGTGTTGCATCAGAGCCAAGAAAACTTTATGAGATGCCAAAGTGTCCCAAATCAGAAAAAATAGAGGATGCTTTGTTATGGGAATGCCCAGTGGTGAGATTTATGTTTAAAGCATCGTTAGCCTAGAAGAACTGGTTATTATTAATATATAAAGAATTAAAACCTAAAAGTTATAGTAATTCCTAAATCTTTAGAGCAATTAAAAAGAACATATCTTTGATTATCATTTTCCTTAGCTTAAAAATCATTGATATTATAAATACTTTAAAAATTAGTTTCTTTAAATGTTAAAAATTAGAAAACATTAGTGACTGATTAAAATGTTTATAGCAGTATAAGCTAGTTTATATTTGCAGTGTGTTTAAGAGATTATTCCACTTCACTATACTGAAGTAAGGTATTTAGAGTGACAGTTATGTTAAGTAAATTGTTGAAAGTGAATTCTTAACTATTCCTCCATGAATATTATTTGGAAAACTGTAAAATAAAACTAAAATGTATACCAACAAGATACACTCATTCCATCAGACCAGCATTGGTCTGGTAGTATTTTTCAGACCACTGCTCCCGCGTGACGTTAGAGGTAAGTAAGTACAAAAAGAATTAAGAGAAATTTGACTGGAAAAGTAAATTTAGAACATTCTGAGTATAAAAGATTATAAACTAGTTTGTTTATCGAATTATTTCTCAGAGCCTTTAATACTAATGTATATAATGATTGTAAGTCATGTTCCCAAAATCTTTTTTTGGTACTGGAAATCGAACTCAAGATCTTGCACTTGCCAGGCAGGTGCTGTGCCCCTGAGCTACATTCCCAGCATTTTTTTTTTTTCCAAAATCTTGATAGAACTTGCTTTTTGAGAAACATTTCTAAGTAAGTCTTCCATGTCATTACTGTTCTAAGGAATGCACTTAGGAAATACTATAAGAAATTAAGCAGGTCTTTAAATCTGGTTGGTTTGTTCTTTAGGAAAAACAGAATCCCCAGTAGATGACCAGTATTTAACTCTAAACAATACTTAAAGGATAAGAGGCTATATTCTAAATTTTCTGTTAAAATCCTTTTTTTTTTTTCAAGGCTAATTTTACATACATTGTAGTTTTCTGGAATTTCTGCTTTATTTTTCATTGGATACTTATTCTCTGTTCATAGAAAGCTCCTTTATAAATGTTAGAAAGACTGGGATTTCTGTTTTCTTCTTCAGTTTCTTAGTTTGAAGCTATAAATAACTGTTGTGCTGTCAGCAATTTAACACTTTTTAATCAATTTTCATGGAGGTTAAGGGTGGGGTAGAAAATGACAAAACTTACTTGAGAATTTTGAATACACTTCTATAAAACAAAATTTTAGAGCAATCTTATCACATCAAAGCACTTCTGTAAAAATAAAATTTCTAGTAACCTAATTCTTCTATTCAGACTTCCTTAACATTTAGGCATTTTGTTCTCATTTACAGTGAAGCAAGATTTCCCATTAAGAAAAACTAAGAAGCATATTATATTGTTGTTAATGTACCAATGTGAGACTACTTTTAAATTAATATCCTTTTTTGAGATAGTAGGTGAAATATTGTAAGTATGCAGAAAACAAACTTTTAGTTTAGGAAAATAGTTCAGTTGTCATATAAGCTGCTTCAAGTGTTTTTCTAATAGTCAAGATATAAATAGTATATTCTATAAAACTTTATAAAATCTCTGAAATATACTTATATAAGACATTGTGGAATAGAAACGTTTGTCTTTATCTGTGAGTTAGTGTAAGACTTCTGGTAGAAAGTTAAACAATATCACCAAGAAGCAAACAAAAAACACCTTCTTTCTGTAGGAGAAGACTCATCTTTTGGAGCACATAGAAAATAACAGTGCCCTCATTCTTTTCTGTTCACTTTTGACCTAAGCAAATACTCAATTAATTTCAACTTTTTTTGTTGTGACCATTTCAGGAATTGTTTGTTTTTGGTTGTTTTAGAGATAGAGACTCACTGGGTAGCCCAAGCTTGTCTCAAACTGTGCAACCCAGGCTGACCTCAAACTCATGATCCTCCTGTGTCATCGTTCTGAGTGCTGGGATTCTAGGTGTGCACCACCACGCTCAGCTCATCAAATTCTCTGTTCTTAAGTTTTTTCTTACAACTGCATCTCCAATTCAAAGCAAACATTTTGCTTCTTTTTGTCTTCCTGTATTATACTTCCACCTTGTGGCAGCTCCTTGGTGACAGGCATGCCCACACAGCTGTCATCTCCCTTTCCTGGGCTACTCATTGTTAACAGGTCATCTTTACAACCAGTTTCTCTTCCACTCTTTTTGACTATCTTCATTCTGGATTGTAGCTTCTTATCTGAGGTTGGAATAGAAGCACATTAAACAGTAGGGTAATTTGCATTTTGCCACATTGACTTCCATATAAAGGAAAACAAATCCTGTAGTAAAGACAAAAGGGATAATGTAAATGTCTGTTCTATCATGACTTTTTCTTTCAACAATAAAGCTTGAACTCAGAGCCTGCCAAGTACGCTGGTTAATAGCTATGGCTACTGTACATGATTTTTCTTTCTTTTTGAAATAGGGTTTCACTATGCAATTCAAACTGGCCTTAAACTCACTTTATAGCCCAGGTTGGCCTCAACTTGCAGCAGTCTTCCTCTCTCAGCCTCCTCAGTGCTGAAATTACAGGCATGCACCACCACGCTTGGCTACATGATTTTTAAGAGCTATTTTTATTATCATAGCAGCAGTGTCAGTATTCCCACTATAGTTATTATTGGCTAACATTTGTTAAATATGTAGTAAATAAGTTATTTCAGGGACATTTTAAAAGGTTTATGTGAATAAACTCAGTAAGTTAGTGATGAAAATAATAACTCAGAATCTTTCCTTCTTTGGATTCTCTATTTATGTGCTTAAAACATATTCTTTAGTAAGCTAGGAATGGTAGCATATGCCTGTAATTCAGCATGAAGGAGGCTGAGGCAGGAAGATTGCGATGAGTTCAAGGTCAGCCTGGGCTGCATAGCGAATGAATACAAAGTCAGCCTGAACTATATAGTAAGACCCTGTTTCAAAAAACTAAAAAAAAATTGTTTCCTTCTTGTGTTTACTTATCTGGCTATCTTTAAGTTTAGTAATTTTCTTTGGACATTAATTACCATATATTGTTCATGGCCAAATGTTTCATTTTTACATCTTACTTTTTTTAGGGGGATGTACTTTCCAATCCATCAGATTATAAATCCTCACTCATAGCACTGACTGCTCATAATTGGCTACTCCGTATATCGGCGACTACAGGAAAAATTCTTGAAAAAATATATCTCGCCTCTTACTGCAAATTCAGGTATTAACTGCGGGTTTATTATTTAAGATTTTGCCATAAAAATTTAAGGCTTATAGATCAGGAATTTTAAAACCCCATGCCCCAGTTTTCCAGTGCTTTTTTTTCCTTGTGACTACATTTGAATATTTGAGCACTGAGACCTTCTTTGTCTTTTTGTTTTGATTCCTAATAAGTATTTGGTCTATACAAAATAGTATACATACATTTAACAAAAAATTTTAATACACTGTGTTACCCTTCTACAACTAGTGTTTTCTGTATAAGGTGAAACTTAGGGTAGGATTTCCTAAAGGCTAGTCTTTGTCAGTTAAATTATCTGCCTACTAAAATTGAACAACTGTTTTTTTAAAATTTGGTTCTGTCAGTGAGATACAAATTTTTGGAGTGAATATGGGTATACAGTTTTTGAATGTAATATATTAATACTTTTATAACTTTCATTTTAAGGTAGAAATTTCTTCCCTAAATTTTGAATACTCTTAGATCAAAAACATTTTTATCTATCAACATTCCAAAAGGATTAAAATTATTAATTCATTTATCAGTTTATTTTTTAAATAGATTGCTTTTATAATGCAATTGATAAACTGTATAATGTCTTGATTTTAAGTACAAGGAAATTGACTCAAATTATTATACTCTCCACTTTATTTTGAAAGGTACCTGAGCTGGGATACTCCTCAAGAAGTCATCACAATCAAGTCAGCTCAGAACAAATGTTCTGCATTGGCTTGTCAGGTAGACATGATTAAATATTCAGTAAACCAAGAATTTGCTTCCTTAGATACTAGTCCGTAAATTTGTTATGAAAGAACTGATCATCTTTGATTTTTGAAGCATGCCATTAGAGTTGGTAGGTAAATTATTTTTTCTGAAATGTTTTATTAAAATGGCCTCTCCATGTCCCCTACCCCAATACTATAACAAGTATTTGTTTCCTTTTGTTTGCATATCACCTTTAATGTGAATATAGCTTTTTCTCACCAGTATTCTTGATTATAAACTAGCCAAAAACTATTCTGAGTGCTTTTCCGGTATTAACTCTTCTAATCTTCAACATAAACCTTGAAATACATATTATTGTCCATTTCTCAGATGATAAGTCTGAGACCCCCACAGGTTAAATAACTTTTGCAAAGTCACTGTGCTGGTAAGTGGTAGAACTTAGACTCAAGACAGTCTAGCTCCTGAGTTCCTCTTCTTACACGTTTGTAGCAGGCTGCCCTTTTTTGAAAGTGGTATAACTGACTGACAGGAAGGTTTATATAAAACTCTATAGTAATTTTTAATAAATTAAGCAGTTCCTCTGATTTAATCTTATTTAAGTAATCGCATCCAGCACTCTCTTGTCAACTTCCTTTGTCCAGCAGCTTGCACTTTTTATGATGAGTATAAATGTTTCTACTCTGTTTCTACATTCTGCCCTATCACATTATTCATGTCTTTTATTGGAATCTGCTCACTCACTCCTTGATATATTAAGTATGTCAATCGAAGAAAAAAGATCACTGTCTCACAAATATTTTTCTCCTTTTACTGTGTTGCCATCTTTGCTTTGATAAAGGAAAATTCATACAAGTGAAATAGTAACAAAAGAGCAAAACATTTATGAGAATTCTCCAAATATCTAGTCCAGTGTGCCTTTTTAAGAACTTAAATTCCTGAAGAGCAAGTATGTAAGTCTTATTTTACACAGTACACAAAAGTTTTTTATTTACCACCTTCTGATGGCGTCAAAAGTCTTTTCAGTAGATTTTTTGGTTTAGACTGTTTTCTCACAATCTTTAGTCGACAACTAGTAGCTCTTTTCAAGACACATAAATAATGTCTTTCCTTTGAACTTTAGGAACTTAAAAGTCTGATGTATATCTTGATGATCTTTTGTTAAGTATACCCTTTTCAGCAGGAAAATTCTAAGGATTTTAAACATTACAATCTATTTTTTTTTTCTAATTTAGTTATCACAAGTGTTACAGTTTTGTTGAAGTAGGTCTCACTGTACTAGACAGCCCCCTTTGTCTACCACATATTTAGGACATTTACTTGAACCCTGTACTAAAGAAATACAACAGATTATTTTACATTTCGATATGGGAATAAATTGACTAAAATTTGTTCTTCTTGAAGCAGAGAAATTGCTCAAGATTTTACTATTGATTTTTTTTTTCTCATTTTACACAGATGTATCAGTGCAACGTGACTTTTAATGATAGTAACCATGACAACTACTTATGTTTTGATTAGGCTCTTTATTGTTAGAACTCCAATTTACAATATAAATGCCTAGTATTTTGTTGCTGAAAAATGTTTACAGTTATAAATTTTTGTGTGCATATTTATGTGTATATATCTGAATATTGTAGCTGAAGATTTGGAGTGAACATATTTTAAATATGTTTGTCTTTCTTTTTAGGTGACTTTTCAGTCTAGGTTGATACATGTTTTCAGTTTGTGAAAACCTCTGTGTGACCACATTCTAGGACAGATAGATGTTTTCAGCTTATAAAAAGAATATTTCTGAAGTACTTTGGAGAGCTGCCTGTAATATTGGTCTTTCCTTTTAGGCAGGCATTCAGCAGACTGTTTTGTTATACCTTGCAGTGTTCCGAGTTCTGCCTTTTTCACTTGTAGGGATTGTAGAGATCAACAAAAGGGTAAGAACTTATTTCTTATTTAACTGCAGTATTAATTTTATTGACAGTAAGATTACTGTCATTATTTAATTATTTATTAGATGTTTTGATTGGAAATGTTCCTGTGACTTGGTTATTTCAGATCAAAATACAGGAGAACATTTGACTTGAGAAAAAGTCCCTTACCCCTTCCTCTTTGTGCATATTTTTATGCCTCTCAAATGGATAGTGTTGGAACCTGTGGTCATTAACAAACCACTGCTTTATAAAATTATGAAATGAGTAAGGTAGTTTTTTCAAAGGAAATATTTCCAAAGCTTATAAAAATGATCATTAAGCTGTAAAATATGTGTCATTTTAATTGCAAGGTATATGTCTAAAATTTGCTTTATGGTATATAAACAAGGCTTAAAATTAAATGTGTAAATTTTCTCTATTATTCAGTTTTGGATTTTATTGTTGGTGGTGTTTTTCTTGAATTGTGGAGTAGTTACATGGAGGGAAGGAGGTGACAAATCTCAGTTGAGTAGAAGAATTAGTGGGGCTGGGAACACTTGTCTAAAATGTGCAAGGTCCAGGTTTTGATCCTGAGCACCAAAAAATGAACCACTAGTCTTCAGCTTTGTTCTGGGTGAATGGTTGTTTATTGGACTCTGTCTTTAAACACCTAAAGTGCTTTAGAAGACAAAACCTTGAAGTTCTACTAATATTTGCTACCAAATAAAATGAATGAGCTTAAACATCTTAATATTATATAAGTGTAATACAGTAAGTAATATTAATTACCATATTATTCATTTTGAAGCAGGTTCTTTGAGTATTTTACATTGTAATTAAGAAGTTAAACAGATATACAAATTCTGAAAATAGAAAGTAAAAGAGCTAGAATTTAAACCTAGAATACTGTGGCTACTTTATTACAGCACTCATTATTTTGTAATGTTTGAATTATACAGCTCTTCCTTTCAAAATGGGGAACAAGGGTCAGTGAATTAAAAAGTCATGAGTGAGTCAACATCAAAACCAACTGTAATTATCTTTCAAAGAAATGGCAAAAAGCACAACTTATAATCATTCTCTTTGTGCTTGCAGTTTAGATAATTGTGAATATATATCAGTCTACAATAGTAATGAGCACGTAACAAAATGATAAGTTGTTCCTGTTTATTCTTATGTATCCACAGTAATCATTTGGTTTTGATTATAGTGGGTATTATTGGGATAAAAGCATATTTTTCACTTACTATGCATAATAAACTGGGTAGTATTGTGTACTCTAGATATTTATTGAGATTGTAAATCTTCACTAAGTTTTCTTGAGTAGAAATAGAAACAGATTTTCATTTCATATCTATTGTCTTTCATTGCTATGAATACTTGCATATATCAGTAAATATTAAATATTGTTAATAATAATAATAAATATTGTTGTTAAAGTAGGCATAGAATAATGTTATTAAGCTATATTTAGAATTATACATTCAATGCGTAGAACAGACACTTTTAAGAACAATGAACCAAAATCTTACTCAAGGCCAGCTAGGCTAAATGTCTCTGTAGACATTTGGTGTTTAGCATGTTTTGTTTTTATGTGGCTCAAGAAAAAAAGGTAATATTATAAATTAAAGCTCAAGGTAAAATCTGGAGATGTCTGTTTCTCTTATAATTACTTTCCTAGACCATTCTTTTTAAATAGCTGAAGTTTATCTCTTAATAAAGAACATTTTAATGTAAAGAATGGGTTCCTGCCAGGATATGCATGGTAAGTTAAAAATTCATTTAGAATTATGTGGCCTAACTATATAAATGTTACAGTGTTCTTGAGGATTAAGATTTATTAATAGAGTTTTTTTTTTTTTTGAGATAGGGTCTCACTTTGTAGTTCTGCCTTAACCTCCCAAGGCACACTGGGATTACAGGTGTGTGCCACCACACCCAGCTGTTAATGAGTTTTGACAAAGCTATGAAGCAAATAAATGCTGCTGGTGCGTCATTTTGAGGCGCATGTGTCACACTTCTATTTTAGTGCTCCAGCCTGGGAATCTAGTAGCTTACTGCTCTCTCCTACTAACACTCTCATCTCAAGTTGCTGAGTTGTAGTTAAGTTTTGGCACTAGGCAGCAAGGTTGTAATAGTGACCTGAATTGTAAGCAAGAGTACAAACCATTGTGAATACTCAGAGGATTGACCTTCTGGTCTTTTCTCAGGTGATATCTGCCTTTCCCCCCAGATTTTCGGGAACATTACCGATGCTACCCTCTCTCATGGGATACTAATTGTGATGTACAGCTCAGGACTGGTCAGGCTCTATAGCTTCCAAGCCATCACTGAACAGGTAAAGAAAACTGATGTTTGCTGTACTATGGATTTTGGACTTTTTTAAAAATGAAATGTTTTTAAAGTGTATGTGTAGTAATCAAATTCATAAAACTTTGGAAATCCAAAAGACAAAGTAACCTTTAAAAGAGGGGTGGGGAAGATAAACAGGAAGACCCTTGGATAGAGACATTTTCTCTGTTATATGCATGTGAGTTTTTTTTTCTCTCAGACAGCAAATAAATAGGTGCTAAAGCCACCATTTTTGTTTTGTTTTGTTTTTAGTTCATGCAACAGAAACTTGACTTAGGGTGTGCATGCAGATGGGGTGGGACTACTGGAACTGTAGGAGAGGCTCCTTTTGGCATCCCTTGTAATATTAAAATCACAGGTATGGCTACTATATAGTATTTTTTCACTTTAAATAAGTGGTCATATAAATATTACTAATTGTAATAATGCAGATGTTTTTTCCTGTAGTTATAAACTGATTCATGTTACTTCTGTACAACAATCATTGTTACTGAATAAATGTCAACAAAATGCTTTTATCTGTTGCTTGAACCAAAGGCTTGGGGATCCTGAGTCTTGCTTGACCAAAGACCTTTGAAACACTTTGCATTTCTGATCTTTTATATCCTTACCTGCAAAATGAAGAGTTGCAATGAATACTACCATTCTCACTCCCTTATAACTTAATATTTTATATTTTGTGAAATACTTTATAATTTATAAAGGGTATTTTTCAAGGAAAATATTATCATGCATCTGAATATAGATAGGATTAGTTACAGTGAGGATTTCCCAGTATGCTTACAGATTGACAAAGCACAAAAAAGAGAATTCTATAAATATAGCAAACATGTTCTTTATTTAATTAGCTTATTAAATTCAGCATTTTTTAGAGAAATTAAACCACTGTATAAAATCAGTAGTATTTGTTAAACTATGAGTATTCAAGGTACATCTCAAGAATTCAAGAATGGTTTAATGATTGCAAATAGACACAAAATCCTATGAGTTAATTAGAGAAAGTACATTTTATTATCCTAATATCTTTTTATTCTTAGTTCATTAAGAATCGTTTCTATTCTCATTGAAGATACTTCCTTCTATTTCCTGTCAATAAGCAACATACTTTTAGGTGAAATGCCAAAAGTAAAATAAATAAATAAAATAAAGTTACTGTTCTTTTTTGTTTTATGTTTTTGTCTTTTAACTCACAGCAAACTTTCTCTTTTTTGTTGTTTTGTTTATTGTTAATAGTGTTGGAACTTGAACCCAGGGCCTTGCACATGCTAGGCAAGCCCTCTTCCACTAAGCCACACTCAGCCCCATGCTGAATTTCTTGATCCCAATTAAAACTTCATCCTTAATGCATATACAGTAGTCCCATGCCTTCAGTACCAGTGCTGCTACTAAAAATTAAAGCATGGACTGAAGGTTCCATTTTTTTCCTCAGTATGCAGCCCCATAGTGTATATAGACTAATGTGTTCAAATGTAATTTGACATCATTTTTCTGTAGGATTAGATTACCAATTTGATATATGGAAGTTCATTTATTTCAGTTTGGTTTCTGTTTTTTGGTTTTCCTTTTTTCTTATTGATTTTATTCTTTTTATTCCCCCAGCCCAATACTGCAGATTAAATATAGGGCCTTGCACATTCTAGGACAAGTGCTCTACCACCAAGCTACATCCCAGCCCTTGGTTTTATTCTTGCAGTTACAAAATGTATATATAGTTGAAAGATCAAAACTGCATGAAAATTTACACTCAGAAACTTTGCTTCCAGGCTTTCCTCTTCCATCCTGTTGTTACTTTCTTACTTTCTTCCCCACTCTTATCTGCCTTCAGAAATGATGATTTTTATGTTTGTTTCTAGTTTATCCTTCTGCTGTTTCTTTTTTTTGGTAATGGGCATCGGACTCATGACCTATGCTTGCCAGCCAGGCTCTTGTGCCACTAAGCTAAATTTCCAGCCCCTCCTTCACTTGTTTGTTTGTTTGTTTGTTTGTTTTTGGCAACTATTAACTTTAAATAATGCCTCCTTTCCTATACCGAGAATGGCATATACTCTGTATTTTTGCTTCACACATAGCTAAATTTTTAAACATTTATATGACTAAATATGCCTTACATTTTAAAATTATAGAAAATTGTCATTTCCTTTCTTTTACAATTTTATTTTTATTTTTTGTTTTTTTGAAACAAGGTCTCACTATATAGTGTAGGCCGGCCTTAAACTCACTGTAGCCCAGGAAGGGTTTGAACTTGCAGCAATCTTCTGCATCATCTTCCTTAGTACTGGGATCATAGGCGTGAACAACCATGCCTGGCTCCTCCCTTCTTTTGTAAACAATCATTTTGTACACTTTGTGTTAAAAGTCTCCTTTGGAGTATTATTGTTTGATGTTTCACAGACTCAAAGTACTCTGCTTAGTCGGTTATTTTATTTGTAGTGCCTCTTTCCACTGTCTAGACAGTAGGACCTTCTTGTAATGACTCTTCCTTTCACACTACCTGCTGATGTCCTGGTAAACATCCTTGCTTTCTAGAAACAGCAGGATGGTAGAGGCCCATCTAAAACTTTTCTTACTTCATGGCATGAAATTACCTAGTATCTGAGAACTTGTAGGCCTTTTTGAGAATAATATTGCCAGTCAAGGTTTTGGTCCTTGGAAGATAAGCAGAGCCAATCACAGATGTGAACAGAGACCTGCTAATACTTTTAGTTCATTTTTAGCAAATGCTGGGAAAAGTATTTCTTTTTAAATGCATGTATTTGCATTGATTTTTTTGTTTAGAATTTTATTTTATATTCTCTAAAACAAAATTAAATTTTAATTTCAAATTAAAACTATATTTTTCCTATCTTATGATTCTTTTCCCTATGCACCATCACTTGGTAGCCAGTGTAGTATCACATATGAAATTTATGATTTAATGACTCATGCCTTTATGCTATTTTTATATTGGAGTATTCACATTTTTCTTATTACTGAAAAAATCCTCTATATATTGATGTTATTACCCTTTTCTTAAAAGGTTAAAAGATAGTATAAGTAATATATAACTTTTGTCAAGGCCTAACAAAACATACACTTCTATATATAATATTTGACTCTTGTATGAATAGTCTTCCTAACACAAGCCACTTTACTACAATGAAAAGATTACTCTGCAAAAGTATTGGCCTCATCAAGTGATTAAACTCTGAAGTAAGACACCTAAACAGATTAGCCACTTGCCCAGTTAGACCATGTAGTGTTTTTGTAGATTGTCCAAAAGAAATGCTAATCTTCTAAAGCTATGATACCTTTCACTTACACATTTAAGAGTAGATTATACTCTTTAAAATTGTGATCAAAGAGCAAGACTAAAAAGCACCAACAGAATTCTCTTTTATAATGTCTCCGAAAGAGACTGACTGAATCCTTCTGAACCACGTGAAAGTTAACTTGTCTGATGATAATGGTAGCAGAAGTGAATACCCTTTAATAAAGCCTTTCTTGTGGCAGGGCCTTTTCTAAGTGGTTGTTTACATTCATTATGACTAATGTTGCATTTACCCTGAAAATCTTATGCAACACAAATCTTGTAAAGCTTACTGCATATACCTGTTAACCTTGGATATGGAAGGTCTTTTCTTACTTAAAGGAATTATTAGATTTAATTGCCTGCTAGGATTGTCATGGGACTTGGAAAGAGTAACTAGCTCAGAACCTTATACATAGCAGATGGTTAGTAAATGGTGGCTTTCATTATGTGTACTTTGTCCTCTTTTTGTCCCCCATTATAAGCATCTCAATCTTTTATCTCTATTCATCTTCAGGCCACACATGCCCCCGAAAATAGATGTCTAGAAAATTGGTTCATGATCTAAGATTTGTTTTCTACTAGCATTCTCTTCTCTTAGCAATAAACCTCTTCCTGATTGCGTTTTGTTTCCTTCATCTTAATCATTTTTCATAGTGAAAGTTCATGGATGATGCATGCAAGGAAAGGTTTAATTCAGTTAATGAATGGTCCAAGACCACTAGAACAGAGAAACTAATACTGTCTTCTCATCTTTACAGACTCACCACCATTGCTCTTTGAGGTGTCATCTCTAGAAAATGCTTTTCAAATTGGAGGCCATCCTTGGCACTACATCATTACACCCAATAAGAAGAAACAGAAAGGAGTTTTCCATATTTGTGCCTTGAAGGATAACTCCTTGGTAAATCATTAGTGACAGACTTTTAATAGTAGATTTGTACCAAAAATTCTCTGTTCTTTACTCCTCTAATAGTGATACATTCCTAAGAATTACTTTATTATTCATTTATTTTAATAATTCACAACAATATAGAGAAATACTTATGTGTATCACACAAAATTTAAAACCATTTGTATTTGAAAGTCTTAGGGTACTGGTAATTTTTTCACCCTTAGTAATCTCTAACTAAGGGGTCCCATACAAAACTTCTGTCAGTCTGCACAGTGATGGAATGTATTCTGGTTGCCTCTGAAATTTCTGTGGAATGTGATGCTGGTTCTGCTTCTGCTTCTACATGGTTTGTTGCTGTATGCTTTCTAGAGCAGAACCAAATGGTGCTTTGGAGATCATAGCATAGGTATTGAAACACTTTGAGTTTTCAAGGATATTCTTAAACTACAAGTGCTTATCAAAAAATGTAGTGTGTTTTTAAGTAAAATATATTTCAGTAAAAGATACACTGACAGTAATGCACCTCAAAATACTCTCCCTTGCTTCAAACACAGTTTTCCCACCTTTGTTGCTTGCTACTTTGTGAAGCAATTATGGAACTCTTGTTAGTCTTTTTATGAGTGATAAAAAGTACGGGGAATACTGCTGCTGAGCGCCATACAGTTGAAAGACAGACTTGAAAAAATTGCAGCGTGTCCCCATCTACCTTATTCACCGAGTCTGGTACTATGCAACTGCTAGCTTTTCCTCAAGGTCAGAATGACCATGAAAAGTAAACATTCTGAATGAGTGAAGAGCGTCGAGGCAGCTACAGCAGCACAACCACAGAGATACTCATAAAAAGGTCTTCGAGAACTATTTCACAAAGTGGCGAGAGTAGTGGGATAAGTGTGTTTGATGTGTGGGGGAGTAAAGCAATATATCTTTTACTATATTTTTTAGAGTTTAAATAATTACCTTATTTTCAACCACATATTTATGGCAGAGGAATGATACGTGTACAATCATAACTATTCGTACCTCTTGAGTTCATACTTCTTTTTTAAAATGCTTTCTGCATTGATTTGCTATTTATCGAACACCAGAGTCCACCATGTGCCAGACATAGCTAGGGATACATTTTCTTCCTTAAAGTTGCTTATACTCTCAGAAGAAAGCAAACATAAGGTTCCATTTTTGTTTTATATTGCTGACCTAATTTAGTTTACTTTTGTTTTTGCATCAAGGTCTTGCAGTGTAATTCAGGGTGGCCTTGAACTCACTATTTAGCCTAGGCTGACCTCAAACTCATGGTGATTCTCCTGCCTTCACCTTCTGAGTGCTGGGATTGTAATGTGCACCACCACGCCTGGCTAATATTGCTTTATTTATTTATTTATTTAGTTAGTTAGTTAGTTTGTACTAGGAATCGAACTCAGGACCTTGCATCTGCCAGGCAGGTGCATGTGCTGCTGAGGTATATCCCTGTACCTTAATGTTGCCCTTTTTTCCACTTAATTTGTGCATCCAGTCATATCCTACACAATTTGCATTCTAGACATTAAGCATACTCTTGCTAAGTAAGAACTGGTAACACCTGTTCTATCTATCTGTATACATAGACTGCATTTTTATGTATGCACATAAATAATGGCCTTCAGCATAATACTTAGGCATTCTCCTGTAATAACCAATTATAACATTCATAAATAATTGTCAAATTCAGGAAGTTCTTAATCTTTTTGTTGGATAGTTTTATTACAGTGACACTGCCTAAGTGACGCCTGTGCCTATTACCTTGTTACCCATCAGAAGAGTCAACCCCAAAACAGAAGCAGGCAAATTTAAGATGTCAGAAAATGGCTTACAGGTTTCAATATTACACTGAGCTTTAAATCTAGCATTTGAACAAATAATTAAAAGCAATAGGCACTGGTAATAAAGCTGCCTACTATTTAACACAGAGATATTCTCGCATGTTATACTTAGATAATAAAGAGAACACTTGCTAAAGAAAGTATGTGCTTACATGTTTTATATTGAAAGGACATCTGGAGCCAGTATCTCACGGACATATTTATTTTAATTGTTGCGATGAAGATATTTAAATGCATTCATTTTTTTGTGTGTAATGTGAAATAATAATGACCATTTCTATTAGAAATAGTATACTTGTAAAAATTAATGAAAAATTTAATCTCATTCACTAATTGTATTTATAAAATATATTAAATTTCAAAAATTTTAAGTGCTTTAGCATACAAAGCACTTATGACATATCCCTAGCCTACCTCTCCAGCCTCATGCCTGTATACCTTACCTCTCAATTTTACTTTAGCTGTTACTTATGTTTATATGTGTGTGTGCACGTGTGTATATGCGTGTGTGTATTAAACTGTTGTGCTTTTTTCTGTGTTTTCTGTGCTGTTTCTATTTTCTGTTTTTCTATTATGGCTTGGGTTAAGCTATTTTTGCTTCCTAAAATTCTTTTCATCTGGATTGATGGCTTGATAATATCCTGTTTTGGCCCAATTACTTCATTTTCTACTCTGCATTACTAGTTTTTCTTTATGTTTCTGCCTTCCCCTAAGCTGTAAACATCTTGATGTTTAATTCATGTCAGGTACAAATGCTTAGTAGCCTGTCAATATATGCCAATGAAATTAATAAACTCTTAATAATTCAAAACTTTTATGAATATCCAGTATGAAAAATGGTATCATTTCATTTCTCTCATTTACATGAGAGAAATTTTAAAAATTAAATGACTCGAAACCAATAAAGTTCTGTATCCATGCTCATTTTAGTTTCCAGTGCTCTTGTGTATATATAAGATGAAACATTTGTGTGCTCATGTGATCACATGCAAGATTGTTTTTCTTTATTTTAATGTCTAAATATACCACAATGAAGGAAATTTCATTTTTCTTAAATACTAAGCAGTGGTAGACCATTTCCTTAGATATGGGTGTGAAGTGTGTGTGTTTTGATTTTCTTGCTTGTTTTGTTTTGTTTTTGATAACCAGGAATTGAACTCAACCTTGTACTTGCCAGGCAGGTACTGTGCCACTGAGCTATATTTCCAGCCTCTGCTTTTGTTTTTTGGGACAGGGTCTTGCTGTGTTGCCCAGGCTAGTCTCCGACTTTAGGATTCAAGCAGTCTTCTTGCCTTAGCCTCCTGAGTAGGTGGGACTATCGGCTTGCACCACCATACCTGGCTAGATATGAGAGTTTAATATTTTACTTATCTAAGCTTATGTGGCCTGTGTCAGAGGTTTTAGCCTGGTTATGTGCTTATTTGTGTTACTCACTGTTCCGATGGGATGAGAAGGAAGAAGGCTGTACATAAGAAGGGCAAAATAATATATGATGGAATGTCCATGGACTTTAGAATCAGGTCTTCTATTTAGTAGGTGCAAAACATTGGATAAATGATTTATTTTCTTTGCGTATCAGTTTCGCTAGCCATAAAGTGAGGTTAATACTCGCTTTGAGAGTGATTAAGATCAAATAAATTAGTGACCATAAAGGATCAAATACAGTCCGTGACATAAAGCTGTGCCATCAAACATGATAACATACTATTATAGTTTGGTACAAAATAAATCTCTGAAATTTCCAAATTTAAATGCTTTTCCTTTCTCAACTTTGAGCGTCATAATTGAGCCCTCCTGTACATCCTAGTTCAGCTGGTTAGTAATTTCACTTTCCTACGCTTTTGTAATAATGACGCATCTCTGATGTTAAATTTGAAAAATTTCATTTTCTCCTGTTATTTATCTTACTATTTTTTTCCAACTTTAGGCAAAAAATGGGATCCAAGAAATGGACTGTTGTTCTTTAGAATCTGACTGGATCTATTTCCATCCTGATGCTTCTGGTAGAATAATACATGTTGGTCCAAATCAAATCAAGTGAGTAATTTCATTAGCACCTCAAAGTTAAAAACATCTTTTGGTGTATTTTTTGCCTTCTCTCTCTGTCCCTTTTATTTGTTTGCCAGTTAACTATTGAGCAAATTATGGAAATAGCTTGTTGCAGAGCATTTCCCAAAGATAAGCACCTGGAAAATCTGACTTTTACCCATTATACTGTTCGTAGATATAATATCTGAGCGTATTCTTTGATAGATGATGTATGAGTGAAAGGAAATAGTAGAACAACCTTTCCTCATCAGATCCTAATTCTCCAGGATTAAAACAGAAGGAGGTGGTTTGTCTTTTTCCTGAAAGTCAGCTTTAACATAGACTATTCAGTGGACCGACTTTTGTTTAACTTTGTTTGCTTTCGATGCCTACATATCTCCCACCAGGTAACCTTTGTCCCTTGAAATGTTTGTCATTTGATTTCCCTGACATCACAGTTCTCTGGTTTTCTTCCTTGTTTTATCTATGTTTTTTGTGCTCTTTTCATGCTCTTCACAGACTTTGTAATTGTTTGATATTATAAGTCAGTGATGATGAACCTTTTAGAGCTTTCGGTGATAATAATCAGCTCGCTGCAGGACATGTGCTGTAAGTTTGGCACCTCTTGGACCTTCTTCTCTTCTCACTCAATATTCTCTATTTATTTGCTTGACTTCAAAATCTGTGTTATTAAAAGCTGGTGATCAACTTAACACCAGCTGAATTAAATCAGTATGGTGCTGCATGTAGGCGGCCCACCTAAGGAAAGTTGCCAGCATAAATAGAGACGTGGAGAAGAACTAGGTGTTGGGGGTTCTCCTCAGTGGTGCTGTTTCAAGCTGTTGGTTCTCCTAGAGGAATTCATCATGATTAGCTTCACCAGTATGAGTTTGACTATAACATCAGAGGAGCTTGGGACCTTGTTGCTGAGAATGGCTGTAGTTCACTTTGGGGGAGCTCTGGTCCTTCCATTGAGGGGAAGATGTGTGCTGTTTAATCCCCAGGAGAATCTTGTCATGCTGACTTCCTGGCATCTACTCAACTGTTCTCATTTGTTGAAGGAGCTCAGGACGTCCTTGTTGCTGAGGATGACTGCGGTATTTTTCAGGACAGCCCTGGTCCTTATTTTGGGCGTGATTTTTCAGCTCCAGTGTAGAACCCTCAACTTACTGGCACAGCTCTTTCATCCCGCTTCTACCACCGACCTTTGGGCCTTCCCAGTAGATCTGTAAAACAGATTGGCGTGAGTCCTCATGGGTTCCAGGCCTCCAATTGGACTGATTCGTGGAAGGCATTGTCATGGGCTGTAGGTCTTCAGCTGGATTCATGTAGGGCATTACTGTGGGATCCAGGCTTTGGCTGAATATTCTGGGTCTTTAGTGTTGTGGACAAACTTCCTGTACTTTCTTGTATTTAACTCTGGGTGACCATCATAAAATAATATTATAAATTCTGTGTCCTGATTCTAATTGTTCTCACAACCCCTGATTATATCAATCTGTATACAGCAAAAATTCCACCACATATGTACTAGCTCAAACCTCATTTAAACTCATGCCAGAAATCTGGAATTGTTCTTGATATCTTACCTTCTTGTGTCTGTTCAGTAAACTGTTTTTTGTTTTTTTTTTTTTGATAGTGCTGGTGGTGGTACTAGCATTGAACTCAGGTCCTTTGCACTGATCTACATCCCCAGCCCATTTTTTATTTTTCATTGTGAAACAGTCTCACTAACTCACTACTTTTACTGGACTCAAAACTTGCAGTCCTCCTGCTTCAGCCTCCCAGAGGGCTGGGATTACAGTCATGCACTGCCACACCCAGCACCCCCTGCCTCTCACATGCAAGTACGTATTCTGTCAATACAGTTTATTTTACTACTAAATATTTAAGCCTGCCTGTTTCTACTCCTGGGCATTGTCCTCATTTTGGTCAGACTGCAGTCATCACTAGCCTAGGACACAGTAATAGCTTACTTAAAGAGCTTCTAGAATCCACTTTTGTGCTCTCTTTTCTTTTTAGCAGTGAGAGTGATTTTTAGTAATGTGAACAAATACGAAAACCTAAGTAACTGAATTTTACTTTAACCTTTTTATGGCTTCCTTTTTGCACTCAAGGTGAAGACCCACAGAGTTAGCAGAGTGAAAGACCTTCCCACTCAGTTAACTTCAGGTGTGCTATCTTTTCAGACAACTGAAGACCTGTTCCCTTTGGAGTTTTTCTTGTCTGTTCTCCTGTCTAATTTCTGTTCATAGTTCATAGTCACTCTTCTAGAGATTTTCTTCACGATTTTTAGATTTACTTCCTATCGTATGTTTGAAGTACCTGCTATGTAATCTTGCTTTGTAGCACATAGAGCAGTTTTAATTAATTGTCCATAATGACGAGGAGTCTGTTGATTCCTGTACCCCTAGTCTGAGCACAGTACTTGACACAGAATGGATGCTCAGTATTTGTTGAATAAGAAGAGAAGTATCTGCTTTATTATTTATGCTTCTTAATAATCAGTTTACCTCTCCATCTATTATAAGGGTGAAAGTATTTAATGAAATGTTTATTAACCTTTTACAAATGTCTTAAACTAAATTTCAGCTTCAATAAACCTTATGTACAATGTTTATTACCACCCAGCTTTTTAACTTTTATTATTATAAGAAAATACAGTCCACAAAGAATATACATCCTTTTGCCAGATTTTTTTTTCTTTTTTTTTTTCACTGGTAACCGGGATCAGACTCAGGACTGCCTGCTCACAAGGCAGGTGCTTATGCCACTGAGCTAAATCCCCAGCCCCCTTTTGCCAGATTTTAAAAGATAGGCACTTTTAAATATTGCAGTGATTAAAATAACTAGTTGAGTAATTTAAATTTGATATGTATGCCTCTGGCAATTCTGAGGCATCCAGCTATCCTGGGCCACGGTAACTATTTCTCTGTTTTTTCTTCTCTTTCTCTCCCCTTCCCTTCCCTCCCCAACTCTCCTCCCTGCTCTCCTCCCCTTGTCTTTTTGGCAATAATGGGCACTGAGACACCCTTCCTAGGTTTCCTGAGCTGGCCTCAAATTTGTGTTTCTCCCTTGGCATCTTGAGTAACTGAGTTTAGAGATGTGCACCACTATACATAGCTATCTCACCTGATATTTTTGTTTGTATGTATATGGAACTTTGAGCTTTTTAAACATTGTGCTTTGTAAACTTGTTAATGATGTGAACAGATTTGTGTAGGTGCTGAGCAAATTATTTTATTTTTTCTTGCTTAATAAAGTTTGATCCATGAATATATTTGCACTCATATAACCCAAAACTTTAATTACAACTAATCCTAAGAAAAGACAAATTTATTGTCAATTCAGTTTTTTTTAATTATTACTCTATCATGAAGACTCTTAGTTTAGATTTAGTTGCTATTCCAATCTCTTACAGTTAACTCTAGGTGTTGTTTATAGACATCTTACTCTGTCTTTAGAAATAAGAATGCAGAAATCTGCCATAATACCACATTAAAGACCTGTTACAGGGCAAAGAGATGAGGTTCCTCAGAGCAGCTTTCATTAAGTCCTTTTGGAAGGTGAAACCTGAGCAAAATGCCTCATTCCTGCATTACCTACTTCACTTGCACTTGTCACAGTTGCTATGTTTTTCTTCTTAACAAAATCTCTCAGGTTTGCAGGGGTTTGCAGACATTTAGTGATCAGGCATTGGTTTTGCAGACTAATCAGAAAATGTGGTTATTATAATTTTTATTGTTTTATTTCAGCAGTTCAACTTTGATACTTCGATGATGTTTTGAGGTCTTAGATCCTTAGAATTCTTTTTTTTTTTTTTTCAGAATTTTAAAGCTAAATGAAATAGAAAATAATAGTTCTCAGCATCAGATCTCTGAAGATTTTGTAATTTTGGCCAATAGGGAGCACAAAGTAAGTTAGAAATACTTTTAAGTCCTTTATATGTAATTGTCTTTATGTATAACCATGTAAAATGCAAATATGTTTGCCTTTCAATATGGCTGAAAACAAGAGCACAACTCTATAAAACTATTCATTTTGTCTACATAGATACCCAGTCTTACCCTTGTGTACAAGCAAGATTTGAAAAGTTAATTATGTTGAATTTATGTTTTGCTTATTTGTTTTCTTTCTGGATTTTTCAAGTTTTATAGATGAATTTGCAACTTTTGGTTCTAATTATTTGTATAAGCTTAGAGTTATTTGGGATATATGTGAAAACACATATCATACCTGACTGCAAATGATACTTTAGTGTATAAATTAACACTGTTTCTCTTCATTTGATAGAAAGAAAACTTAATCACTGTTACAGCTTCTGGAAGGGTGGTGAAAAAAAGTTTTAACCTTCTGGATGATGACCCAGAACAAGAGGTAGTACTTTAGCCAACAATAGCAAACCAAATCAGTGTGTATTTGCACAGTGAATTTCAAGTCAAAATGCCCCAGATCCGGTGGTAAGATTGTGGTAATGGATTCCTTGCAGGCTGAATGGTTGGATTGTGTAGGCTATTTGTACCAGTGCAGCTCCGCCATCCTCTCTTATTGAAATTATTCATAAGATTTTGTTTGTAGAAAGGTTCATGAGGCCAAAATAACTTGAAAACGTGGTTTAGTGTTTTGTTTTGTGTGTTTTCTAGGGAAATCATTTAACAGAAAACTGTGAAATTCTCATGCTTTAATGGCTTTTGCCTTATTTTTTTACTTACTAGACATGGATTTTTTTTTAATAGGCCATTGAGGATAAGGGTATAGCAAATCAGTTTAGCTTTTGTCATCTATTTGGCATTGCCAGTCACTGAGCTAATCCAGTTTTACCCCTTTCCATTAAAAGGCACTAGAAATACTGTGAAAGCAACACTGATCATGCTTCAAATATATAACCATTGCTTACTTTCTAAATCCACTTAAATCTTATATCTATAGTGTTTGTGTGGTCATATCTATATGTAAACTTTAAAGCAGCCTCTTGATATAGCCTAGTATGTGTAAAAAGGAAAAAAAAAAATTACTCTTTTGGTTCATAAAAACCTATCAAGATGAAGTAGGAAATTCCCTATCCTGTATATAAAAGCACATTCAAGCTAGGCGTGGTGACACATGCCTGTAACCCTAGCACTTAGATGCTAAGGCAGGAGGATCGCCATGAGAAACCTCCCCTTCCCCCATTGGCCACATAGTAAGCTTAAGGCCAGCCAGAACTATAATGAGGCCCTGTCTCAGAAACACAACAAATAAATACAATTTTTTAGAAAAGCATATTCAAGAAAGATATACTAAAATCATCAAAAAGTAGCAAAAAAGTAATAAGAGAGAGATGGCAAGAAAACAAGAGATGCGCTGTATCATGAGATTAGGAAACTAAGTCTTTTATTCTATAAAGGAAAAATTGAAAATGATTCTTACCAAAACCTATAAAATCATTGCTACTAAGGCAAAGTCACCCTTTGAAATTTGACCATGGTAGGATCGTGGCAGAAAAGTAAATAAAATGAACCATAGTTAACAAATCTGTGTGCACTTTTATGCCAGAAGATAGTAAAGGCAGGAAATTTAAATGGATTAAAGAATACCATGACCAGACATAAGTGGTGGTTAAGAGACACACTATGCCTGTGTTGAAGAGTGATGCCAGGCACTCAGCTAACATGTGCGTCCTGTGCTTCAGCCCTGCTTCCTCTGTGAGGCTTTGGCTGTTCTGGGGATTTTTCCAGGAGAGAGAGTGCTGAGTTTTGTCTTGCTTTAACCATATCTAACCCCCTTGACCCAGTCTCATTCTGTGGGTTGGATTTAAGTTCCTAGTATTTCTCCTGAAGTATAAACCATCATTTTGATTTATTCAGCAAACTAGAAAACACTTTTTTAAAAACAAAAAAGATGGCAGATAGAGTCATAAATAGTATATGATGAGTTATCAGTCCTTCTTAGAATGACTTTTCTGATGTAAGAACTTCGAGAGCTCAGAGAGCTATCCCCAGGTTTCAGATCTGAGCTTCCTGAGAACTCAAGAACACATGTCAGAAGCAGCAGCTGAATACTCTTGAATTTGGAAAGGTTCTGGCTTGCTGTCATTATAGAGAATTTCACTTGTATTTTGACACCTACATAGATTTGGGTCTGCTCGTCAAAATCTGTAAAATGATACTTAACTCTTAGAAATTTGGGGCCTATGTTTCTGTAGTAATAGAACAGTTAAATTATAAACATAGGAATATTCCTAACTGAATAACTGGATTTGGCCTCTTTTCCTCTGCTTTATCCATCTATCCTCTAGACTTTCAAAATTGTGGACTATGAAGATGAGTTGGATTTGCTCTCTGTAGTAGCTGTTACTCAAATAGATGCTGAAGGAAAAGCTCACTTGGATTTCCACTGTAATGAATATGGAACGTTACTTAAAAGCATTCCACTAGTGGAGTCATGGGATGTGGTGAGTAGAATTCTTGAGATATAGGCCTGGGTTTTCAATTTTGTGAAAAACACTTGTCTAACATGTTTGAGAACCTGAGTTCAGTACTTTAAAGGGGTGGGAGGTCAAAATTATTACAAGAGTTTTCTTTGTGGATTCTATTTACTGGAATAGATACTACTGTGCTCACATGAATCACACTCACCTGTGTCAATGATCACATGAAAGAAGTTATTGGGGTTGGGGATATAGCTCAGTGGCACAGCGCCTGCCTGCCTGCCAAGCACAAAGTCTTGAGTTCAATTCCCACCCCACTTCCCTCCTCCCCAAAAGTTACTATCCCATACACAATACAAAACCAGTACCTCCCTTATTCCCCTCTGCACTAGGGGGTGCTTTCTTACCAATAGCCTCAAAGATAAAATTTATTTTATTTTTCTTTACGGTTGTAGGATTTTCTCTCCTAATATGTTTGATAATGTTTAAAAAATGAAAGTATTAAAAAATATAATGTAGTGAATCCCCACTATCTATTTAATAAGACCATAACTAAGCAAGTCGAGTTTCCAGCCACTCATGGAAATATTTGTTTGCTCTTCCAAGTATTATATACTAAGAATGGCAAGCATTCTACGCAAGCCTTGTTTTATCAGTGGAGAACTTTGAAGTGTAACAGTTCACCAACTAGGATATATGGTAGCAGCATTGACCATAGAATCTGGATATTCAGACCCTTAAGTCCAGAGTTGTTTTCATTTTCTGTATTTTGTACAATGCCTTTTTAAATTAGTAGTATGTATATCCACAAATAAGGAAAAATAAGCCTATTTTTGGCAATTCTTTGTCTCTATGTGTATATTGAAGATTCCTAGCATAGGTGCTGCAACATTTTAGTGTCATACTATGGAAATGAAGTTCTGTATGATTGTGTTTTTGTTACAGACATACAGCCATGAAGTCTACTTTGACAGAGACTTGGTGCTCCACATTGAACAGAAACCCAACAGGGTCTTCAGCTGCTATGTATACCAGATGGTGTGTGACCCTGGAGAAGAAGAAGAAGATGAAGAAGAAGAAGAAATCCTAAACTCAAATTGTTAATAAGAGTGAGACAATTACGGCTTAGGACTGTTAGCCCAGCACCTTAGAAACTGTGTCCAGTTCTCTTTTTTTATTTTCTGGTTGGCATGTTCTACGATTTTGTCCAGAAAAGGTCTTGTATTAGCTGGGGATATAGCTCAGCCACACAGCACCTGCCTGGCAACCACGAGATTGTGAGTTCAATTCCCGGTACAAAAAAAAAAAGAAAAGGCCTTGTATTAACTTCAGATGACTAACATTAAATGCTTGACATGAAAATTGGTGGGGTTTTTTATAATGCTGTCCCAGGAGGTATAGTATTTGGAAACTTTTAGCTAGGTGCTAATGCAAATATAAAATGCTGAGGAACGGAGAACAGATGAATGCCAGACGTTACGGAGAGAACACTTGCTGTGGAAGGGTTTAACAAGGTTTTTAATGGAATTTTGATTGATAAGGCTAGGAGAGAGACAAAAAGAAAAATTAGAAAGATACAGAAAGATCCTCGAGCCTCCATTCCAAACTTTGCTTAAGAATAAAAAATATATAATGTGAAAGCCTACTTTTGAGCCTTAAACGTACGGTATCACGGGTTTTTAAAAAAACATTGTATGTATGTATATATGTTTTGTATTTGTGTATAATAATAAGAATTAGTTCTGGTTTCCAAATTACCTTTCCTTCCATGGTTCTATTCTCTTGGATGGACGTCCCCATTAAATATTTTGTTTGTCGGTTGGTTGGTTTTGGTTTTGGTACTGGAAATCAAACTCAGGACCTTGCATTTGCCAAGTAGTTGCTTGTGCTGCTGAGCTGTATTCCCAGCCCCATTAAATATTTTGTGTTTCTGTTGTAGACTAATATAAAAAACTCTAAATAACTTAAAATGAAAATTTTTTTCTCTCATCAGTAGGGCTGTTTACATCTACAAATGTTGCTGTCATTAATCATTCTGTTTACTCATTGTTTTGTTTAGGTGATACTTTTTCATAAGTATACAAGAAAATAAAGCGACCGTAGCCTGTGCCAGTTTAGTTCCCTATAGAGGAGACAGTGAGGTCCAACAGGGGTTCTTCCTGGAACAGCAGTTACTTAATTGGCCAGAGAAAGTTTTTGATTATCTTAATTACAAAAGGAATATTTTTTCTTCTTTCCTAGGACAGATCTAAATACGATACTTAAACTGCAGTAATCTTTATGACAATGTTAAATGAAGGCAGCCTAAGAAAGGGATAAAAATGTTTGTTTGTGCTTTGTGTTTAAGCCATGAGTTGCTGGCAATCCACTTGATCAACACATTTCTTTGATGCAGCATCAAAAGAATAACAAGTTTAAAAAAACAGCAGTAAAAATCATTGCTGAAGATGAAAATGCGGAATTTTAGCTTGAATAATTTGCATTAAAATCCTTCAATTTAGGCTTTGGTGTCATGTTAAAAATTGATATGAATTCTGTTTAATTCATTGTACAATACTTTTTTTTCATTGTAAAATTTTTGGGATGTTTACAAGTAGATTTTAAGCTTATTACAATCAATAGGATTAAGGAAAATGTTGTAGTCAGGGTTTGTGAGAGAAAAGACTTTATATAGGACACATAATTTATAGGACTATTTTTAAAAATTCACCCAAAAAGTCAAATACAGAACAGTACAAGAGATCTGACCTTGCACTAGAGACCCAAATAATCCAGCACAGAGCCTGGATCCGATAGCAATGTCCTCCACAAGTCCCAACTGGAGGCCTAGAACCCACGACAATGTCTCATGCAAGTCTATCAGGGATCTGCACTGGAAAGTCCCAAAGGTCAGTGGTGGAAGCTAAAAAGTCTGAGCCAGTAGGGTGAAGGATCTTTGCCAGCAGACTGAGGGATCTGCACTGGAACCAAGAAACAGACTAAGGTAAGGACTAGTGCTCCACCAAAGAGAACTGCAGCCATCCTTGGCAGCAGCAGGGACCCGAGCTCCTCCGAGGATGGAAACAGCTGAATTCATATCAGCAAAACCAGCGTGACAAACTTCTTCAGAAAACTGGCAGCACCATCTTCCTTTCCAGTTCTGTTTTTATGCTGTAGGCAGCAATCCTCAGTTGTGCCTTCTACACCCATCAGCACACTGATTCAGTTCCGCCGGATTTACAAATTGACCATTAGTTAATCCACCACAAAGAGAAAGATGTTGTGTATTTCAAAAGTCAAGGTAACAGTACGAGGGTCTTTAAAAGATAGAAAAGAAACCACCTTTTGTACAATAGAAAAAAGGATATAAGTTAAACATCCCTTATCTGAGATGTCTAGGACCAAGAGTGGTTTGGATTTAAATTTTTTTCCAGTTTTAGAATATCTGCATGTACCTAATGCACTCTTGGAAATGGGACTCAAATTAAAACATAAACTTTTATTTCATGTGCACCTTAAATACGTACCCTGAGGGCAACTTCGTGCACTAGTTTTAGGGTACCTGTGTTTAGACTGTGTCCCATCACATGAGGTCAAGTATGGAATTTTTTATTTGTGGCATCATGTCAGTGCTCAGAAAGTTTTAGATTGTGGAATATTTTGATTTCCAGATGAGAAATGCTTAACCAGTACTAACACTTGAGAATGTGGTAAAATATATATGGGCTAAAATAAGTATTTCTGAATCTAATTCTATGTGTAATAAACATCTGAGAAAACAGAAGTATACCTTAGCAAGATGATAAAATTATCTTGATATGTTAAATTCTAATGCTGTCTTATCTAACTGAAAAATTATTCTCATTTTATGCATATTAATAGTACCATTTACTGTGTTTGAAACTTCTAAAGACATGATTATGATTACAGAATAGTTCCATAATTAGTGTCTAGATACTGTGTCAAACTCGTTTTGTTTTGTTGAGACAGTCTTACTATGTAGTTCAAGCTGCCCTAGAACTCACTGTGTAGCTCATAGCCAGGCTGGCTTTTGCAATGATTCTCCTGCCTCGGTCTTCCAAGTACTGGAATTCTAGTGCCTCAAACTTTCAATTAGACTATATCTGCATTGTCCTGCTTAATAAATTTATATCTTGAAAAAAGTAGTTTGGCAAGGAAAGCACAAACACTAACACTGTAGGCTTCAGAGCAAGCATAATATTGTGTAATAGCAGAGTGTGTGGTCTTAATTTTAAACATCTTTAGACTTCCATTGTGAGAGACTTTTTCTAAGGCAGTCATTGAGCCTTTCATAATGTTTACTACCTTTTGGTAAAATGATGGAAAGGAACTCAGCGCTCAGGAAGGCATTTGAGAACTGAGATGCCTGGATTTTTTGGCAGGGGTGAGGGATGAGATACTTTTGGTCTAGATGTAAAGTGACCATTAAGAAATTCCTAATATGTTACCACTGCCAAAATGGAATAGACCAGGATCCAAATGGTATATGGATTAGGCGGGAAATAGATCTAGTTTGGAACAGAGTAACAAACAGGAGAGCTGTATCCCAACTAAATAAGCTGCAGCTACTGTACTTCACTCTAGCTGATTGTAAGAGTGAATGGGAGTGTACATGATTGTTGACAGCATGTTTGCTAATAAGATGCCAAAAGATACTGAGAATAACAGAGATTATGGCAAATTGATCTACTGCAAATAGCAAGAGACAATACTATATGCTTCCCCCAAAGACGTGGAGTGTCTCAGCACCCAATGTCACGTGGCCCTTTATACTGCCACCTGCCAGACTAGAGGCAGATTAGTCAGTATCCTCTTGACCCACCTTAACCCTTGTCTGCCTGATTGTTTCAGTGACTCTGCTACTATTAAAGTATCGCCCATCCACGTAACACGTACAAGCAACAGGTACAAAACATGGGTGACATTTCTGTGTTTAACCCAAGACCAAATGAAGCAGAGTTACTTTTCTCAGCCAGTACTGACTTTAAGCTGAAAAGAAGTGCATTTCTGTGTTTTCCACCTTGATGTAAGTTTTTCTTACTATCCTTGCTGCAAGCTTATTGTTTGATTTTCTGCAGTGTTTGATATAATTCAAGGAGAAAACATTCTGTCACACTACTTGAGCTAATAAGTACTATACATTCTTGAAATGTTTTATGTCATAGGCCCTTGGGTTGTTTGTTCGTTTGTATGTTTTCATTTTTGTTTTCAGACAGGCTATGTAGTGTAGGCTGGCCTTGAGCATACTATGTAGTCCAGGCTGGCCTTGAACTCAGGGTGATCCTCCTGCCTCAGCCTTCAAGTGCTGGGACTACAGGTGTGCAGCACTGTGCCCAGCTATATATTTTTTTAAAGTAGAAATTTTCTGGGAGACTGAGGCAGGGAATTCACAAGTTTAAGCCTAGTCTGGCCAACTTAGCAATTAGGCTGTGGCTCAAAATTAATAATAATAATAATAAGGGTTGGGGGTATAACTCAGTGCAGAGATCCTGAGTTCAATACTAGTACCACAGGAAAAAGAAACATATTTTGCATCTGTCAGTCCCTGTGATGTACTTACAATGAAGTCTCATTTCATATTCAGAATAAGCAGGTGGTTATTTTTGAATATGAAAAGGGAAAACTACCATTGTCTCTGCGTTTTTAGAAATGAAGGATTGAGACTTAACAGAAGTTAGTTTTCCTAAGTTCCCACAACAGTAGCTGTAGAAATAGGAACAAAAATAGATTTGGGTGATAAACTTATGTATGCCATGTTTTCCTCTGAAGCTCTCGAAAAGCAGTTGATGTTATTTTATCACACATATAAATTACTGACAGTTAGCAATACTGGGTAATGGGAAAGTGTTTCATGTGTTCTTTAAAAAAAAAAACCTTGGTGCAGCTGAGGATTGAACCTAGAGCCTTGAGCATGGTAAATAGGTGCTTTTAACCACTGAGCAACCTCCCCAGCCTGGTGTGTGTTTTGTTTTGTTTTGGGGCGGGGGGGGGGGTTGTTTGTTTTTAATAATGATGGAATATCCAAGTTTTGGGTGAAGTTTGGCCTAGAGACAGTTCACACGTAACTTGACAGAAAAGACAATTCTTCATTCACTAGTTAGAAGTCCTTTAGAAATGATACCCATTTTGTTTGTAGTGACAGAAAATCACAGTATGAGTAATTACTCTTAATGTAATCTAGCTTCCATTTCAGTAATTGTTATACTCTTTTTCTTACTATGTAAGAAGGTATACATTTGCTGAGTGTTTGCAAATACATAACCCAAACCATTTTGAAACTTTAGAATGCACAGTTCGCCTGCAAGTTTTCTACTTCCCCTGCATGATCCGTCCCTCCCCATCTCTCAGGTAGAACTGCTGTTCTTATTCTTTTGTATCCCAGGTTATATTTGCCTATCATGAAATTTAATAAAACTTTGAGCATAATGCTTTTGAGATTTACTCCTATTGTTGTATGTGTCAGTTTGTTCCTTTTCGTTGCTAAATATTCTTTCATAAGAATGTGTCATTTGGCTCCCTTCAGCGGCACATGTACTCAAAATTAAATGTGTCACCGTTTTTCTGTCTTCCTGTTGATGAAGACCTGGCATGTTTCTTCCTTGTTTCTTTTTTTACTCTTATGAATAAGGCTGCTATGGACATTCTTATAGAAATGTTTGTTAATTGTACTGTGTATCTCATTTCTCTTTCATAAAGTACTATGGATGGAATTTTTGAGTCTTTTCAGTAGGTGTATATTTAATAAGAAGTTGGCAAACCTACTTCCAAAGGATTGTACCATTTAATAAGCCTGCAACAGCATGTAAGACTTTGAATTGTTCTGTATTTTCTTTACATATGTAGTTAGTTTTTCTTATCTTAGCATTTAGGGTGGATGCGTAATCACTTCTAGTTGATACTCAGGTTGTTTTTACTGGTGCCCAGCCGCCCTCTTTGTCAAATTGACCTCTTGGTCTCACCCCACCCACACCCCCGGAACTGCTGAAAATACTCTTCATGATAATAGTAAAGATAACCCAAATCTCAGTTTGAATTATTCTTTGTTGAACATGGAGTACACTGCTCAGTGCAGAACCTTGACTTCTTTAACAGAGACTAACATTAGGGAGCAAACCTGGGTTCTGAGGGCACCTTAGCTTGTTTCACACAACCAGAGCTGGACAGAGTGGCATGGAGAGGCTTTATCATTCTAATACAAGTAGGAAAAGACTTCTTTCTTTGAGGGTTATGAGGTCATGTTCCTTCTAACTCAGATCTTTTTTTCTCTGATCGGAAAGTATGAAACCAGTTTATCTTCCCCTTAACTAGTGTTCACACTACATTTGCTATCGTACCAAATAGCATATTCAAGTTTAAGAACTGCTGCGAAATTTAAAATATTTTATTTTTCTCTTACTGCTTCATTCTGTATTAAAATGTCCTAGAATTTGTTCCAAAGGGTGCAGGCCCACTCTTTCTTCATAGTCAGTTGAACCTGATGTAGGGTAAAGTGGAGGGGGGGCCACTTCTCAGCCTCCTTACCATGCACAAGGCACTAGGATCCCAGAATCCCAGGTGATTAATAGACAGTAGCAGTGAGAGGTTTCAATCAACAGAAGCCTTTAAGATTTGTCTGATACTGTCCTTTAATTCTTTGTCATCTTTGACAAGTATAATTCCTTATATGAGGCAACGTTTGAGTTTCATAAAGAATTTTGCATAGATACTAAATTTCTCAGAATTATAACAGCAGCCCAGCACAGGCATACACCTGTAATCCCAGCTGCTTGGGAGGTTGAGGTAGGAGGATCACAAGTGTGAGGCCAACCTAGATGACTTATCAAGACCCTGTCTCAAAAAGCTTTAAAAAGAACTGAGGATGAGGTCCTGGTTGAGCAAAAAATCCAAACCAAAACAGTATTACAAGAGCCAACTTTGCAAAAGATAATCCAATGAAAAAGTATTACCACGTTAAAATCAAATTACTACTTATAATTATTAGGATCATAAATTTTCTTAGAAAATTTATTGAGGTGTAATCAATAGCCCATAAATTGGACATATTTGAAATATAGTTTGGTAAGAAACATTCTTCCCACTCAACCATCACCCCATATGTTTCCTTGTACTCTTTTTTTTTTTTTTTTTTTTTTTTTTTTTTTATCTTTTTCCTTTTTATCGGTAGCGGAGATCCAACTCACAACTGCCTGCTTGCAGGGCAGGCGCTTATGCCACTGAGCTAAATCTCCAGTCCCTACTTGTACTTCTTTTTAATGTTTCACTTCTGCTCACTACCCCCTTCCCAGGTTAACCTCTAATCTGTTTCTGTCATTTGAAATGAAATTGCATTTTATAGAATTTTTTATGAACGGAATCATGCAGTATTCTGGTGTCTTTCAGTACCATTATTTTGAGATTCATCTGTGTTGCCTCTCATCCTTAAGTTCTTTTTTTAACTGCAAATTAGTGCTGCATTGACTGGATATAACCACAGTTTGTGTAGTCACATTTGCTGTGGTTGCAGTATGTCCTGCATTTTCATCTATTGGAAATTCAGCATCCTAGTGGAACGTTGAGAAGTATTAATTCAGAAATTAGAGGACTCTGCCCTCGTAAATGGGTTAGTGCCGTTATCTTAGAAATAAGTAGTTGTTATGAGGTGGGTTCTTGTTAAAACAGTGAGTTCAGGCTTCTCTCTGCTCCATCCCCACACACGTGTGCCTGTGGTTTCTGACCATGTGACACTTTTCCCCACCTTTTTGACACAGAAGTTCCTTCAGACACAGCCCTTGAATCTTGGACTTGCCAGCCTCCAGAATGATATATCAAATAAACTTACTGGTTATAATTTCCCAATCTGTAGCATTCTGTTCTAGCAGCATTAAACAAATGGAGACACTTTGACAGGCATTTGGATTGTTTCCAATTTTGACTACTACAAATGAAATTAGTAGGAGCATCTATTTATAGTTCTTTATTTAGACATAGGTTTTCTATCAAGTAGGTACTAAGGAGAGAGTGGCTGGATCATATATTAGATACATGTTTAACTTTTTAAGATTGTTCTTCCAAAATGGCTGTACAATTTTACATTTCCATCATCAGTATATAAGAATCCCAGTTTTTTGTGTACTGTCCAGCCCTTAGTATGTTAGTCTTTAATTTTAGACATTCTAGTAAGTATATTATGGTATCATAATGTAGTTTTAGTTTATACTTCCCTGTAGATTAATGATGGTATGCACATTTTCATGTGTTTGTCATTTGCATATCTTTCTGATGTCACAGCTAAATCTTTTGCACTTTTTATAAATTGGACTTGTTTTCTTCTTAGTAAGTTGTAAATCTTCTTTATATATTCTAGATCAGATATGGACTTGCAGCCAGCTGTTCCCAGTCTGTGGCTTAACTTTCATTCTTCTAACACTGCCTTTTGAGAAGAAGTAGTTCTGAGTGCAGATGAAATTAAACACACTATTTTTTATGGATCACACTTCTGGTGTTATATCTAAGAAAGTTTTGCCTAATGTAATAGTTCTCAAATAGGTGTGATTTGCGTGAAAGGGAGAATCTGGCAATGCTTAGAGACTTTTTGTTGCCACAACTATAGCAATGATAATGTCTAGTAGGCAAAAACCAAAGATACTGCTAAACATCCTGCAAAGCACAGGATAGCCCCTCACAACAAAAAACTACAAACCCAAAATGCCACTAGCACTATAGCTGGCCTGAGATATCCGGCCTGATCCCAGAGACATTTTGTGTTTCCTCTCAAAAATGTTTTAGATTTAATATGGTCCAATTTTAAATGTTTTATATGGTGCAAGTTGTGAATCAGTTCTTTTTTGCATATGGATATCCAATGCATAAGAGAAGACTATTCATTCACTGGTAGGTATGATATTGGCTGTAGGCTTTTTATAGATGTGCTTTACCAGTTTGAGAAAGTTCCCTTGTATTCTTGGTTTTCTTTTTATTTGAGTATAGATGTTGGAGTATGTCAGATGCTTTTTTGGCATCTATTGTGTTAATCATGAAGTTTTTGTTTCTGACTGTTAATATAGCTAGTTACATTGAGTTTTTTGAATGTTAAACTAATTTTGAACTGTTTAGAAACTACTTCTAGATTTCCAAGCTTATTGAAAGTGAGACAGTTGCTGCAGTTCTGTTTTTTTCACATTGTGTCACTTTCACAATAATGAATTCATAAAATTTACCAACACATTTGTATTATGGTACACAATTGTTTCAAGGTCATTACATTTAAATGATTTTCTGCCTTGACAAAAAATTTTTACATCTTTCTTCTTTTGCCAGTAATTTCATTCTCAGGAAAAAAGTCAATATATTAGTGATAAAAGTTTTAGTACAAACTTCTACATTCTTGTATAGATTCAAACACTGAATTTCAAGCCACATGATTACTACAAAACAGAATCACTTTCTGTGGGGAAACCAATTGAATGGGAGTGGAAGTGGAGAGTGAAATGCTAAGCATAGTACATTGTTTTGTGAGCATCGCATACAGCGAATCAGGACTTGGCTGGTTGGTGGGATCTGTGTCAACAGACTGACATAGTTTCTGTAGTAAATCTCAGGCAGTCTTGAAACATCTAAGAAATTCAACTGCATCGTGTTAACTATTTGGAGTTGGTATTTGCGGTGGCAAACAGAAACACCAAAATGACCCCCAGAATTTGGAGGCAAATTTATTTAACATCAGATGGGAATCAATCCTTATAAAAATGTCAGACCTCAAAGGCCCAGGGAGGGAGGTTTTTATGGGATTGCCAAGGGGAAATGCAGAGTACATGACTGTCTTTGATTGGTTCTTACAGTACACATTGTAGTGACCAGCTGTGCATCACAGCAACCAGCCATTTCTAAGAAACAAAAGTAACAGAAACTGTAACAGGAACTGTTACCTGGACAGCTAGCAGAAACTGAAGTATACTCCCTAGACTTCTGAATCTCCCAGATTGTCTCTTGTGGCTTGGGCAAGTGTGGGGAGTCTTCCAGTGCCCCCTCATTCCTGTGTGAGGCCTCACACAATCTGTTCCTTTTTTTTTTTCCTTTGGGAGGGGCAGGAGGACAGGAGGTTTGTTTGACTGGATTTTTTTGTTTTGTTTTTTGGTAACAGGGATTGAACTCACGACCTTGTGCTTGCCAGGGAGGCACTTATGCTACTGAGCTAAATCCCCAGCCTAGTTTTGTGGCAGGGTCTCACTGTGTGACCCAGGCTGGCCTTGAACTCATGGTGATCTTCCTTCCTCAGCCTCCCAAGTGCTGGGATTACAGATGTGTATCACTACACCCAGTTTCTTGAACTTTTGAGAGTTTGCTAATTAACTTTGATAGCTTTTTACAACACCGACTTTTTCTTGTTAATATTTTTCATTTTATATCTCTACTCCCTTTGCTAACACTATTTTTATCTTCCATAGCATTTCTGCACATTTGCA